ATTCCTATTATCAAGAATCTAGTTGGGTTCTATAATGATACTAAACATCACACAATTCGAATGAAACCGAAAGATGTCACTGCTGCTCATGAGAATTACCTCTTACGTCATGTCTATGGAAAACTCAAAGCACCTCGCACAAAGAGAATCAAATTCAAGGTTGGAGATAAGGTGCGCGTCAGCAAGTACAAGAATGTTTTCGAGAAAGGTTATACACCCAACTGGACAACTGAGATATTTACGATTAGTGAAGTGGTAAATACTAATCCTGTGACCTACAAACTCATCGACTATGAGGATGAACCAATTGAGGGTGGATTCTACCAGGAGGAGTTGACGAAAGTCACACACCCTGACGTCTACCTCGTGGATAAGATACTTCGAAGACGTGGGAACGAAGTCTTTGTCAAGTGGCTTGGTTTCGATGATTCCCATAATACTTGGATAAATAAGAATGAATTATAATTAAATCAGTGGCAAATAAAAAACATAATTTACAGAGATTTATACATTTTTTTTATTATGGAATGTTTATCATTATTTTATTTACAATAACCATATGGTATAGTATCGTAAGAGTCTGGTAACAATATTCTCTTGTCATCTTCCCAACTTAAAGCTAACTTCCTTTGCTCAACAGTCCTAACTTCATGTTTATCGCTCTTGATCAAATATTGTGACTTAACAATATTATTATGATTATCTAGACAGTCTTTATAATCATCAAACGTAATCCTCTTCAATACTGATCCTTTCACTCCTTTAGCACGCTTCTTTGCTCTCTCATCACCGTGAATTTTGAATGTATACAGTTTTGCTCTCAATCCTACGAACTCACTCATGACTTTGCCATTGCATTCATCCTTCATAAGTCCCAGTACTTTCTTATTCACAAGTGGCATCCCGAATGCATTATCTTCTGAATAATCTGATGTGTCGAATTTGGAAATATTTTCCTTCATATATTCATAAATATCACGTCCTTGAAATTCATACAGAAGACTGTCTGTGTCGGTGTACATAAGTTTAGCCTCATTACCGAATTCTTTCTTAATGCACTCATAATGAAAATCATAGATGAATATTTTGGATAGATCCAGGATTGAGAAACCAACGTAAATGGGTTTATTGAAATGCATTTTTGTGCGATCCAATTGAATAATCACTAAATTATCGTTAAAAATGGTAGAACTGTGAAAGTTGGGTTGAGCAATGAGAACTTTGGCTCCCCATCTCCCCTCCCATTTAGTGACTAGCTTGACATCTTTTTGTTTCCTTACATTCTCAATAGTTTTTCCGAAAACTGAGTTATTCATTAATTTGAAGAAATTCTTCTCAAACTCATTCCTGGATTTTTTTCGCAAATCAGTATTTATGTCGATGTACGGTTTCAGCCATGGTGCTTGATTGAATTCCAGTACTCGGTGGATTTTTGTCAATTTTAACCCTAAATTCAGACATTGTTTGAGATTCTGATGATGAATCACATAATTATTTTTGGGAAGCAATGTTGTGATTAATTTCTGCATTTTTTTATTCGGGGGAATGATATGTTCTGGACAAAGTGGTAAATCTTTGTGAGCCTCAAAGAGCTCCTTGAGATACTCCAAGTCGACCTCAAGGATATACCCTTTGTTGGAATTATCGGGAATTGTATACACATCGATAATTGATGGATCAATCCACTTGAATGATCCGTATGGTAAGTATTGCGACATGGCTGCACCATACAAGTTGTTCACATCAAAATACATTAGATAGGAGGTCTCTTCCATAGGGTTGAATTCCTCTTTCATATACCTATTGTTGGCATGAGCATAACGATTTGAGCATTGAGCTAGTCCACCTCGAATTCCTTTCTCAATGAACAAATGCATTTCAACATCTGTAAGAAGCTCAAGTTTAACACCAGTGCATTTCAACATAGCATCAAATGCTAATCCTGGTGCTGTAAAATAGTGTAGGGGGTCAAGTTCATATACGGAAGAACAAGTACTTCGGAAATTTTGGAAAATATCAGCTAGAAGGATGACATCTGTTGTCAGATAAAGATCGGAATATTCACCCAAAGATGTAATATTAAAAGTATCCCAAACTTTCTGAGCGTGAGCATAATCTTCAGCAGAGACACTCTCATCATTCAATTTGGAATAGAAATCGGTGATTGGAGGCAACTGAGTGTCATTGAGTTTTTCCCAAGAGTTAATATACTCATAAGGAAAAACTCCCTTCCTCGTTAAAAGTTTGAATTTCTCTTCATCATCGTTGCAGTAATTTCGAGTAATGGATTTATCCTGATCGCCGAGATATGATGCTAATTTTTCCAAACTACTCGCCATAAATCGGAAGGAATCGATGAAACGCAAATTAACAATTGTCTCATCAAAATATTTGGTAAAAGAGATATATTTTTCTTTATTAATAGGCAATAAATTTAAGCGGCCTGGGAATTTTGTGGCGAGAGTCTTGATCAGAAAATGTGAGTCATATCCAGTGAGGTTATGAAACACTACTGGAATGGTATGAGAATTTTGATAATTAATATTACATTGAGGGTGTGCTGGACCACGATATTTGCCTGTGAAGTGACAATGATCGTGATGTTTTCCATCAGTTTCGGTGAAAGATTTACCGCAGATGTGACAGACTTGAGCAATATCGAAGTCCCAAGCCTGTTCACGGGTGAGAGGCTTCATTGGTACATTCATTTTCAAACAAGTATCAACCTCATTAGCTATTCTATATAATTCATCTATGAACCATTCAATACAATCCGGTCCACGGTTCATCTTGAAACGTGAGCGAGAATCATCGAAAGCACACTGGAGATAGAATGCTGCACTATGAGGAATGTGCTTCTCATATGAAGATTCAGAATTATTTGGCTCCAAAATGCATTCTAAATCTGCATAGATGGCGAAGGGGACCATCTCTTTGAATTGATAATTTTTGAAAGTCAAAATATTTTTTCCTTCTTCTGGCAATACCATTCGATATTTATTGTTTGCAAAACAGTCTGGCTCATGGCGTTCAAATGATTTGAGTGTGGAAAAATGGTTCAGACAATGATCACAAAAAAACAAATGATGTTGATTCTTAGATAATTGTGATCCAACAAGTCGAGATAAATTTCTAATCCAAGTGAAATGATAAATTGGTTCAGTGTCACGTTCAATCTGAGCATCGTCACAGATCAATAACAGATGAATCTTGGACCAACTTGACTTGATTTTACTTAAGTGTAAAGGAACTATATCTTTATCATTATCAATTCCATATACGTTTACCGACAGACCATTCATTCGTTCGAATTTAGGAATATTCTTGAGTTTCATTGGAAATTCCAGTCCAGTATAGTGAAGTTTCGTGACGCCATCTGGTAGAGTAGCCAAAGAGTAATGAGGATATGAACTCAGCCTATCAACGTGCGTTGTAACCGGATGCAGCGCTGCTGTGATCGCCCATAGAAAACAAAATGCATCTCTGTTTTTAACATTGACTACGGCTTTTTTTCTTTGTATGCATTGAGGCGATGGAATGTACGTGTTCGAACCCGCTGCTAATGGTGAATATCTGTTAATATTCATTGTAAGATTGATAACCTCAATCAGTTCCCAGCCAGAATCCTTTTCTTGAAAATCTTCAATTTTTGCTAGAAGTGGTTCTGTGATATTATCTTTGAACCACTCCTCAATGTTGGTAGTGGGCAGAATGATTTCATTTTTGGTGTTGAAATATTTCGTTTCTTCAATAATTTCATCATACTTCATGACTTGGAACTTACAGGTGAGAATTCCATTAGCTTTGATATTGCCCTGTTCTCGTAGAGCATCCTTCAAATGAATGACAGCAAGAGCTTTTGCATCCTCAAGAAAGGACTGAGGATCTTTGTGAGTTAGGTTTATGATCACACCTGTCTTCATTCGACTCCTGAAGGCCGATTCCAGATCCTTCCAAATCACTCTAGCACTTTCATCTTCACTTGATGTCTCATCAAGTCGTCCACCCTGGTGTTGTTGTTGTTGTCCTTTTCTCTTGAACTTCTCACAATAGCTGTGAAGAAAGGACAGCATCGTTTGGATTCGCCGTTTATCTGACATCGATAGTTGAGAACTGTCCTTTTTCAAAAGCTTCCCAAACAGTTTGATGTAATTTTCACACATTCTTATCCACTTCTCAGAGTTTATGACAGGTTGATTCCTGTATGCTCCTTCGAGTAGATCCACAATTTCTAAACACTTCTTGGAATCCATAATGTTCGGATATATTTTCACACTAAATGTTTTTTCAGCAAGCTTTCTTACACTGGCAAGTTGCGCGTCAACTAACTCGAGTAGAGTCCATCACGCGTTTATATAGAGGTTCGAAATATAAAAAAAAACAACTCTCGGACTTGTTGCTGTCCCCTTGAGTGATTCACAGCACTGTTTGCGTCGCACAAGAATACTGCGTGAGCATGAAAAACAATTCTTAGAACTGTTTACTACCTCAAACAATTCTCAGAACTGTTGACGTCGCGCAAGAATGATGCTATGTGAGTATGAAAAAAAAAAAAAAAAATTCTTGGAACTGTTTACTACGCTGTCGCCTCGAACGATTCTTGGAAGTGTTGACCATGGTGTCGCCTTGGAAGATTCTCGGAACTGTTGACATCGCTTAAGAATACTATATGAGTATGGAAAAAACAATTCTTGGAACTGTCTACGGTGCTGTCGCTTCGGACGATTCTTGGAACTATTTACTACGCTGTCGCCTCGGACGATTCTTGGAACTGTTTACCACGCTATTGCCTTGGATGATTCTTGGAACTGTTTACTACGCTGTCGCCTTGGACAATTCTTGGAACTGTTTACTCCGCTGTCGAGCATAACAATTCCGGGAACTGTTTACCAGTGCATGCGGTCGCATTCCATTCTAAGAGTATGAGAGGGGGGAAAGGAGTATATAATGGTCACAGCTCGATCATGGAACATCAACTACCATTATTTTTCTGTTTGAGAACCATAGTGTGATGTAACAGAAAGTGGGGATAGATTTAGAGAGGGGGTATGAGAAATCATGTGACTGGATTATGGCCTATAAATTGGCGTCACTCAAGAGTGCGCTTCAGTATTCAACCGAACTGGGACTTGTCAATTCAACGCAAACATCAACAAATATTATTTTCAGTGGAAAAACATAATACAGGTAAATATACTAATGTTATAATTTTTGCCCACTGTTTTTTCATTACTAAAAAAATAACTCAAATTCTGAAAACTATTTTGTTGATTTCAGGAAGAAAAAATGAGTGGAGAGAAACGCAAAATATCATCTTATACCAGAATCAACAAAATCACAAGACTGGAACATGATTTTGCGACAAAGAAGATCACAGACTTAGAAGTCAATAAGGCGTACAAAATCGGAGAACTCCGAACTGCACCTACCACATGGGGACCAAAAGTACTGGCTTT